GTTAAAGGTTACATTTTTTCTACAATTTTCAGTGTGAGATTATGCTTATGAAATAAAAATGAAATTTATTTTAAGGCTTTTAACACATCTTAACGAGGGGTGCCAATAATTGTTGAGGGCGCTGTATAATAGTTAAAATGGGACGAGGAGAATTTTCTCTACTGGCTGTTGCCCCCACCATCATCTCAGTTCGGGTTTGCTGAAAACTTTGGGAACTTGTTTAAAAATTTATTTTCATTTTGTTTTTTCCTCTTTTTTGCTGTCTTCAGGCATTTTGTCTGCTAAACTACATAACTGTTTAAGTAACTTTTAATTAAAATTTAAAATGTATCATCATTTAAATTATGCTGTTTAAATAATATTGATAGGCTGTGACAAAAAATAAAAAACTTTTGCAGGCATAAGAAAACAGTTAAAATTTTCTAAAAAAAAAAAATAATAAAACATTAAGAAAATATAGAAACATTCTTAAGAGAATATTTGAGAACTACTTTTGTTTTCTTTTTTGTTTTAAAGCACATTCTTCTGCTTTTTTAGGAACACTTTTAGGAATCCTGACTCAGAACTTCTTGCTTGGTTTGAGAAGTCATCTCTTGCAGCACCTTCTCCTTTAAGAGCAGACTAACTTTATACCATTTCATGGACCACGTTCCTGTTAATGGCAGTAGTCATGACTCACCCGTATGGGAGACACCACACCTATGGCAATCCTGTATCCTTGGGCTCATAGGATTTTCAAGGTTGTGCATGTTGAAACCTGCAGCACAGAACGTTATTGGCTCAAACTGTCAGTCACACTAAAAGTCAAGTTCAGTGTTGTCACTTAAGGTTGCCTTTTGTGGTCTTTGAGCTTCTGCACTCCAAGCAGTTTCTGTTGGCCTCTTACGATGATTGGCAATGTTCAGTTGGAGTTCAATGGAGTTCTTAGTTGTGTCGAACCTGTTAAATGATCGGTTATTTTGTTTGGATTTGTAGCTCAGATGTTTATTAGTTTGATCCTAGTCATTTTCTAGTCATACTTTTCAGGAGTTCAGGTTCTGCTCTTTTCAACCCCTGTGCCATGTGATTTGTGATTGCATCATGTGCTGTGCTTTTTAAAGGCATCTCCTATGGGCAAGCACAGTTGTTTGGAGAGAGCGTACTCTATAATGGCTGGTTTGATATTGACAATTAACTCTGTTGAAAGGTAGCTGGATTGTTGGCTTTCCCCTAACAGTACAGAAGAGTAGAATTAGTTTTGTCAGTCAAGAAATCTTTAGCTAAGTAACCCTTGGGGTACACTATATGGTCAAAAGTATGTGGACACCCCTCTTTATTTTCCAGTTCAGGTGTTTTAGCTTTATCCATTGCTAATAGATGTATGAAATCATTGCCAATCATTATCTATTGACAAAATGGCAGTAGAATGACTTCAAAAGTGACACTGTCATAGGATGCTTTCAACACAAGTCAGTGTAATTTCTGCCCTGCTAGGTGTGCCCCAGTCAACAGTAAGTGCTATTATTGTGAAATTAAATACTTAAAACACAATACTGGGTGTGTGAACAGTCCTAATCCAAATTGGCTGTTTAGCCAAATGGTTAAGTCACTCGTCACCTTGTGTGAGAGTAGTGTCAATTCCAGCATAGAGAAGCACTTATTAGGCTTCTAACAGTTTGTGTTGGCAGTGATGTGATGTCTCTCTGTACTCCCCATGCAGTCCATATATGGAAACTAGCCTGCAAAAACAGCCAGCTCGTTGTTTCTGTGATGTCACAAAAGCAGCACGTTTGCAAATATCCACATATTAACCCTTCAACAGTTTAGCCCCACCCAGTCTCACTGAAAGTGTTTCAGCATTGACTGTTTATTGAATGAGACACAATACAAGGCAGCCAATCAGAACATGGGACATTTACATTTCAGTCTTAAAAGCACAGTAACAAAAACAGCCTGTTAAAGAGAGGTTGGAAGATGATTATATGAGAATGATTTTTTTTATAAATGTTTTATAAATGTTTTTGGTACATGAAACCACACGTCTTAAGTAGATATCACTATAATATAAGCAAAATATAATAGTGTATTGTAAGAAAAATGTAAGATATGGGCCCTTTAAAAACTTCTAAGATTTGAGAGATAGGCCTCGATTTGGCTCCTTCGCGCTTCTACTAAGCGATATTATCTTTCACTTGCGTGTTTATGCCAGTCAACAGTGTTTTAAAAGGACCAGCACACAGAAATCTAATTTCTTCAGGGAAAAAAATGATTACAAAAGAATCCAGCTTTAATCAACTAATTGTTTTTTGCAACTTGAAATAGAAGCATCCAAATTGTGTTAGTTTGTGTAATTAAGTATACCAGTCCTGCAGTGTCACATGTTTATTCTGAAAAGTTCTAGTTCTGCTGGAAGGTTCTGGCTGTTGAACACAGTACGAGAGATTTGGGCAGGAGCTTCAGTGTTACCTCAGTTCTCCCTCGTGTCCAGCATAAGTGGTCTGACGTGCATGGCTTCAGTGTTGCACCTGGAGAGAAGGAAGGAGGGGTAGAGGTGGGAGAGTGGGGGAACTGCCTCTATTTATATTATGGGCAAATGAACACTGGCCTATTTTTGTTCTGAATGGTGTTGTCAACATCTCTTGCTCAATTTAACCAGCGCATGAGAGAGCTGAGGCAGGAGAGTGGTGATGTTAAGGATGAGATTTTGCTGAAAAGAAGTGATTCATTGGTTTTTTTTTATTTAATTTAAGAGCGCGCTTAAGTGTCTAGTGGAGTGACTAGTCAGTCATTAAAGGGAACTCTTAGTTATCATGTTTTGCACTATATCATATAGATATCACATTTCCATACAGCTGTAGTCTTATTCCCAGCGAAGGTAGGAAATGACTTGTCTCTCTGACTGCCTGTGATGGTTTGTGCATTACATGTAGATGTCATGATCTGATATTTTAAAGGCCCCATGTTTTCCTTTTTTGTATTTTATTTTTTCCACTTATGTGGTTTTATTTAATCCAAATGAAGGTTTAATTCATTTTTATGTCGCTATGTTCCAACCTCTCTTTATCCCTGGCTGTTTTTTGTTACTGTGCTTTTAAAATAGATGTATGTAAATTACCTCTGTTGTGATTGGCTGCCCTGTGTTCCATCTTGTTCAGAAAGCAATCTGAGCTGAAAGCTCGATTTTAATGACATCACAAAAACGGTGACTTCAAAACGGGCCGTTTTTGTATATTATACTCCATGTACAGACCCTATGGACTGGGCATTTGTAGATTGCACTCCATATACAGACTTTATGGACTGGGCACTGAACAGTACGCTTTTAATGTTTACTACATCAAGTGAGGAAAATTTGTTTTTTTCCGTGATGAATGCCCTTTAAAGGAGATATTAAGCCCAATCACAGTTATTTGTGTGCACTATTTTTTTTCCACTTAGGTTCCACGCCCTGCGGCAGTGGTCTTAAAGGCAAAGTGGAAAATGAGAACTTGGAATATTTTCAGTGGTAGTGCTTTACTGTGGTTAAAACTTAAAGAATTAAATAAGATTAAACGGGTTAAAGCTCGTTAAAACACAGCTGATCTAGCTACTTGCCGTGAGCGGAATGCTGCTGGAAGCATGCTCCGTGGGAACATCCTGAATTTTCTGCCTGTGCTTTTGATGTAAAACCACCATTGCCAGTAACCGGGTAATTCTCTTGAATCCACCTCAAAACATATCCATAAATATGTGTCATAAATATGTGCATCACGCAAATAAAAAATATTCGTATCATTTTGTATGTTAATCAGAGGTGTGTATGGTACAGCAAAAACATTTTTTGTTTTACTTTAATCAGAGTATCCACATATGCATTTCTCATTACCAGTATTGATGATTTTTTTTTCAATTTTTTAAAATGAGAAAAAAATTAGTTTGTGTTTCTTTTAACTATCAAATCGCTTTAATGATTTCCACAACACCGTAAACCACGAGTAAAAAGAAAAACCTCAATGACTTTCGGTGTGTTGTGAGAAAATTGCAAAATACTACTTTTTAATGTATACAAATATATACAGCTTATGAAAAGTTGGGGGAAAAAATCAGTGCTTACAGATTTATCTTAAAGCCTCACTGTGTTGCAGTAATGAGAATTTTTATTAAATAAATAACCTCATTAAGGTTTATTTTTAAATATTTAATGCAGTCATTGCCTGTATATCTAATTACAATTTTTTTTTTTCTTTTTCATTTTGGGTCTCAGTATTTGAGCTACTTCACACATCTTGGAGCAATTTGAAATTGTGTTTTCACTCCACTATAAAGTAGTTATTCCACATTTATATACACACACAAACACAAAGATAAGTGTTCTAATTGGTTTGACTAAGTTTTACATACGTGTCATTAAAAGCGTGCAATGTGTGGTTGTATTATGTGTGAAAATACAAAAATCAGATTATCATTATCAAATCATTATCTGCAGATACTTTAATCAGTGTTTCCTCTAGGATTTTTCTACGATAATCTGCTAGATCTTTTTCAACTTACAAATGAATGCAAAAGTTTGGACACCCCTGGTCAAATTATGTTTTTGTTGAAGTGAAAACAGACATCCCCTACATAGAACAAACATCGGCACATTTAATGCACAGTTACTGTTTATTTGCTGAATTTTATATGTGAAAATGTGGCCTGTGCAAAAGTTAAGGGACATGTTTTATTTTTTTTCAATATGTTAAGTTTGTTTCTTGTGGAGGACAAGTTATTTTCACATATCTACAACTTATTGTCACAGAAATGTATATTGACTGGGGGGTCAAATTCAGACTTATTCAAACTTAGAAAAAATACAACTGTGTAATTTTCTGTCACTATTATTTTTACTGTATTATTAGCTTATTGTTTGTAATGATCGTATTGTTGTCATTTGATCCCTGTGTTGTTTATTGGCATCTCCAGTTAAATAAAAGTTTGAACTAAATTGAATTGATGCTGACTGTTGGTGCTTTCTCTCTGTCTCTCTCTCCCTCTCTCTGCAGAAAGAGATTCAGGCCATGAGCCAGTGCCACCATCCCAACATCGTCTCGTATTATACCTCCTTCGTAGTGAAGGATGAGCTGTGGTTGGTGATGAAGCTTCTCAGTGGTGGTAAGTGAGCCCTCTATTTTCTTTTTATCACCCAGTCTCCCTCTCATTGGCCCGTTTCCCTGAGAGTTTTCTGACCCATAAAAACTGGCCTCAGTCCCTGTAACTTCTTTATCTCCTTGTGTTTGTTATTTTTCCCAGCTAGTTATCTAGTTATCAATCCTGTGTGATTTCAGTTTGATAGCAAGGTATATTTTCATTTCTGCTTTTGCAAGTGCAGATGATGCTACAACTCTTGACATTTACTAATTAGTAGGAAGCTGTATTGTCGAGAATAAGTTGGAAGTGTTAGATGTGTCCAGAATGATGAACAGAACAATAGATGATTCTGTAATGGTTCAGAAAGCTGTATTATAATGATAATTAAGTTCTTATTAAGTTAGCATCCAGAATGGCTCATATTAGAAATCTCATGGCAGAAGACTTTTCATGATAGTACTTTAAATAGATGATTAGTATTTTTAATAATTAAATGAGTTCTAGATGTTCCCAAAACACTTCAAATATTGAATAAAACATCTTAACATAACTTCTGATGTCTAGCTTATAGGATTTTAAGCTGCATTGTATAAGTTATTATTGAATGAAATAACAGCAATAATTAATGCAAGTGATACTGAACTGTTGTAAACCTCACCTCACTACCAGAAAACGTTCTGGAAAGCTTAGCTAGAACAGTTTACTACACTAATCAAGACTGCACTATAGGGTAAAAATTATATTGGCAGATTTTCGAACTAGGCTAGAATAACTCTGGTATTAAAACCACTGCTTTGTGGTCGGTCTTACACAGGAGCATTCACATTTAAGGCTGTGCTGATCACCAGTAGTCTCGCTGTGAAGGTGTTTATTTTTCAGGTTATCTGCATTAATTTAAAAATAAACAAATAAAAAAAAAACAAAAGGCAGCTCATTAGGGCTTCATGATGAATTGTATTGTTGCATTATGAATTTATACCTTAAACATATCGCAGCGGCCCACAGTAACAGAACATCTAAACCAGTCTTCTTCCTGGAGATCTGCTTTCATGCAGAAGTCAGTTCCCACCTGCAGCTAAAATGTTGCCTCCTTCTTACTTAACACTAAATCATCTGATTCAGTCAATCATTGACTTCAGAAGATGTTTATTAGCTGGAACAAGTGCAGTAGACTGTGGTTGGGACTACATTCTGCAGGAAGGTAGATCTCCAGGACCAGGGCTGGTGACCACTGACCTAAACAAATATGTTTTGAGCGGTTTAAAGAAGTAATTTACATGGTATTCTGCTTACCCTAGAAGTAGCTGATCAACCAAGACATGTTTGGTGTCCAATTTCTGTTGCTTTTATTCATAAAAAGATATCTTCAGTTTGAAAATGTACACTGATTTATTTGTACGTGGAAATGACAAATCGGTAGCATTTAAATGCATATGTGACATGAAAGGATGTCGGATTATGGTGGGGGTCAGAATTTAGTGCAACACTTGTTGGCTAAATTGGCTCTGTGAAGTTTTGCTCATTTTTATAGCTCACAGTAGCTCATGCTGTGTCTCAAACCACATCAACAAGCCTGCATCACTTTAAAGAAGGCCTGGATGCTGTTTGAGTGAGTTGAGAGAAGTTTTGGGGATGCATTCACAGGAAAGATTCGGGTGACTATTGATTTCTAACAGTTTGTTAGCAGCATTAGCCTCGTAGCTCCAGTGCTCCAACTAAAGAAGCAAAATGTGTCTTGACTGATCAGCTACATCTAACTATTGTTAAACTATTGTTTTAACTGCAGATTATCACATCTCACATCATCCAACGTGCTACCACTTTATTGCTCATCTCATTGATTATTCATATTGTGCAGCCCTACAGCTCATGCAGTGAGTGTAGCAGGCGGTAATGAGCGTTAGACTGGAGAGTGATCGTGGGGCTGTTAGCTGGGGTCTGCCAGGGGCTCCCTGACTGGGCTAATCACCGGGCTGAGGCAATAACAGGACAGAAACACACTGCAGCAGCACAGACAGTTTGATGAAAGTGAGAGGTGACAGGAAAAGGAAGCTCATTAGCAGTGCACTAGTTTATCGTGAGCAGATCTCTCCAGTGTCTGTCGTTGTCATGGTAGACCTGCATTTTGAATTTGTATTATATACAGCATTTCAATGCACTCTTTCTTTCCGAAAATAGCTGCATGTGCAGATGCGCAGTGCAGACTGCAGAGCAGTGGAGGTGTCTCAGCCATGCTTTATCAGGTGTGATCAGCAGACAGGGAGATTACAGACTGCCTAAACGGTTGACAGCAGAGAGATGCAGCGGGTTCCCCTGAAATCACACAGGCTGTTCATTTATAGCCTCCCTAGAGATGGACTCCTCCTTCCTCCCATGCTGTTTTCACATCAGCACATATGCAAACAGGAGTTTTGGTTCACTTTGGTCCAAATTATACACAAAGGAAACCAAATCAGGAAGCTGCATCATGACCAGTCATGTGTCTAACAAAGTGTATTCAGACTAATGGGGCAAATTCACTCTTTAGTAATGTGTGTTATTTAGCCTTTTAAACTCTATCCTTGTAATTGACTTACAATGCATGACCCAAAACCTATACAAATGCATAAAAGGGAGTCAGAATGAATGGAATGAGAGATTTTGGGTCATGGATTCTATGCCAGTTACAAGGCTAGAGTTTAAAAGACTATATAATATATTGCTAAAGTTTAAATTGACTTAGAATGCGTGACCCAAAACCTATACAACTGCATAAAAGGGAGTCAGAATTACTCCATATTGGAATCAGAGGTTGTCCTCAAAGAAAAATTACCCTGTTTTTATCCTTCTCTTTAACTTAATGAAATAATTTACTATTTTAATGATGCACAATCATGTTTGATCACTTCCCTTCTACATAAACAATAAATAAAGATGCACTTCAGTACTATTTAAAAAGCATTAATATTTCCTCGACTGGTTGGGCAAAGAGGCACCAGAATAGATAGCTTAGTCTTCTTTCATTCATTCTGGTGATTCCATTCCATTTATTCCATTTTATTAATTTGTTCCTCAATAACATTTCTAGTAGTAATAGAGGAGAAGCAACACAACATTTGCTTGCTAAAATTAGCTCTTGTTGGTTGATAGCTAGCTGATTTAGAATATCTGAACGTCATATAAGAGAGTTAAAAAAAATACAGTATTTGCACATGAAGTGGCCGTGAATTAAAATTTTGACAAAGATATAAAGTTATAAATAAAACATCAATTCAAGGTCAAATCAAGATCCTGTAGTAAAGGAGTTGACAGACAATAGTCATATCAAAATATCTTTTGAAATAGATATGATCACAACCATTTTTGATGAAGTCATGGAATGTCAAGGAATAAAATAGAGTAATTGACTCATTTAAAAAAAAATTCAGGATTCATAATTCTGTAGGAAATGAAAATGGGTCATTTTGACCCCCTTAATGAACACTTGGGGTAGTCATACAGAAATGTTATTTTTCAGATTGTCAGACCAAGAATTATGGGATTGATATTTGGGGAGCTCACAAACAAGGTTTTTGAATAATACCCAGAATATCAAGGAATTTGAATATTTTTATTCATAAAATATTCCGGTATTCACACCCTGTCGAGTCAGTTTGTGACCTCCTTTAGGCATTCTGGAGTTTCATGCCCTCATCCACTTTGACTCACCACTCGGATATGCATTACACCCACATTTCTCAAGTGACCACTCGCAGTATGAGGCTAGGAGGGGACAATGAGGAGTGAATTTTTCAAGTAGAATGTGTTCACCCTTGCCTGGGTTAGCCTTACTGAGCTAATCAGCTAGCCATGCAAACTTTGCAACAGACATTTCAACATAACGTTCATTAAATTTGTGAATAATTTCTTTGTCTGGCTATAACCTTTTTGTAGAGCCGTGGTGTTGTGCTTTTCTTTTTGTTGTTAGCTGTGTAGCGTGCTAACTAGATAGCAAGCAGAGGAAGTTGATGAGATTATCAATGATAATGTATAACAGATGGAGTAGTTTGCAACCTAAAACCCAGCAATTTGAATGTTATGATGTTGAAATAATAAGTATTTTAAAGCAGTTTACTGCTGTGGCTAATAAGAGGCTTTATCTGCTGTTTATGGGGGTTTGAAAAGGGAAATGTGTCAGATTGCTCTAATCTCTGGGCAAGTTCTGCTGCTCAAGTTGACACTTGTCCGCTTGATCCTTTGGCCCTTAATATTGTGTCAGTGATTTCCTCAAGGAGAAGGTGGACATGGGTGTGTTCAGTTGGGTACTGAAACAGGCTGCTGAGGATTTGGCGATTGGTGATAACTGTTAGTGATTCACAACACCTCCATCTATCAGCCAATTTAAAATCCAGAAAATCTGCTCTTTCCAGCTTTAAGATGGGCAAAAGTAAAATATTTGTCTTATCTGTTTTCTTTTAATATGTAATTCTGTTCTAAATAAGCCCTAGAAAACTTATCAGTAGTATAGTAATAATGGACTTTTTTTTTTTGGCAAGAAAAGCAATGACGATAATACATTCTTTTTTAATAGGGCTTTTATGGCAAATGTAAATACCCAGTTAAATTCTATTTAAGGGCCGCAAGTTTGAATGACGCAAAGCCTGAACATCGCCAGTAAAGGTATACTGGTGAGGTACAGTGTTTGACTGTTTGCAAGTTTGTTCTTTGTTTTTTATATGTTCTGGTTTGGTAAATTTAGCATTAATATTACATGCACGTGTATTGGCCAACAGCTATTCGAACATCTGTGCATGATGCAAACTCATGTTGCACACGTGGTAAAGTGTAATTCGGCCTTTAGCAGGTCCCTGCATGGCGCTGGTTTGTGGCATGTCCAAGAGAATGGCAGCCAATCAAATCTAAAGCCCACCAGATGTTCTTGCCTCTGGATCTTCATCATTATGCTTAGTCCAAACACAGGTCAGCGATTAGAATACAAAATATCTCTAAAGGTGCATGTGTTGGGTGATTTTGTGCATCTCGATGTGTGTCAGTAGGCTATGTTC